TCCTCCTGACAATCAAGGGGGAGCCATCTTAGCTTGAGAGCTGCTCCACACATACTCTTATGTCAACTTTCACTGAAATATCTGTCCTGTTTTATCAGGAATTTAAAAAATTAAGAATAAGAAGTGGAATTTCCAAAGAAGTAATAAGATTTGGAATGCACCTCTTTCTGTCTCGCAGAATAAGTGGAATGGCAGAAGTGCAGGACATGAAGCTGATCACACCTGTGCGGCGTTCGGCAAGGATCGAGCGGGCAGTATCCCGCTATCCAGAAATGCTGCAGGAACACGATTTGGTGGTGGCTTCTCTTAACGAGCTGCTAGAAGTGGAAGAAACAGAGTGTTTTATATTCCGTAAAAATGAGGCTCTACCTGTCACACTAGGGTTTAAAAGCCTCGAGTCATAATTTCTTAGTGCCTTAAAAAAAAAAAAAAGATGTTTCAGAGCCTCCATGAAACAAGAAATAACCCTCATCCAGGTGACCTGGAAAAAACTATGTAACAAACAGGCAGAATATGGGCTCTCAGAATTTTGTAATTTGCCGGGCTTACTCTCAAATTTAATATCCCCACGGGACTCACTGGTTTAAGACTGTAGTTTGCCACAGTTGTCTAGCATAAACTTTAAACTATTGAATATTTACCCCCAAGTATGGTAGAATTTTTCACTTTATTAAGCTACTTTACTCTCATCTTAGTTCTTTGTTATATTCAAAGGTCGGTGCCACAGTATGATAGGCTTCCCTTCCTTCATCCACCTTAGCAGGGAGGGTGAGTCCTCCCAGCCCAGGGGAGCCAAGCTGAGCTCGCCTTCCAACCCGAGGCCATGTGACAGACCTTCTGGCCAGATCCCCTCTTTCTAGAGCTGATGCTCAGCTGTGCCTTTGCTCAGAGATCTCAAATGACTTTCATGTATGACTTTGACTTCGGTCACATGGTCCCTACAGATGAAGGGCAATTCCTGAGCGTGCCAGGCAGGGCTCCTCCAGTGAAACATAGCCCTGAACTGGAGGCGTTATCTAGCTGTTTATATTCAAATCTCATTTTGTATTTGTTATTCAGAAATGCTTCAAATGGGTGGGGGGGGGGTGGGGGACACTTGCATCTTCAGTTCTTTGTTCTGCTAAGGGACACCTGGCCTGACAAGACTGCACGAGCCCCAGAGACTATTATAGACTGTCTTTTCTTCCTCCTGGGCAACTGCTCTAGGAAAGGTAAAATCACAATCATTATGTACATATAATGTATAGAAAAACCTAACCAACATATTTTGAATTTTTAAATTTTAGCTTTCTCAATATTTAAGTATTATCTAAAACAAAAAAAATTAAATTTTGTTCATTCCTGCTAGTTGATTTGTTTTCTTTATTATCAAAAACAGTGCTGATGGCCTGGCTTGGGGGTGGTGGGAGAATTAGGGCTTTGTCCGGGGAAACTCTGATAGACTATTTCAAGAGGCCTCATAGGGAACATCCATTACCATGGAGAACTCACCTTGATCAAGAGTCTGACCATCAGCTTCACGCAGGAACTAGATTTGGTCACAATGAGAGAAGCACTGTCTCTCGATCAGGCTTATAATAACAAGGTTTATAAAACCATAAAGTCAATACACTAATTTTCTTTTTCTTTTTAATTTTTTAATGCTTATTTATTTTTGAGAGACAGAGAGCAAGTGGGGGAGGGGCAGAGAGAAAGGGAGACAGAATCTGAAGCAGGCTCCAGGTACTGAGCTATCAGCACAGGGCCCCATGCGGGGCTCAAATTCACGAACCATGAGGTCATGACCTGAGCCAAAGTTAGATGCTTAACTGACTGAGCCATCCAGGTGCCCCTCAACACACTAATTTTAATTTTCAATACAAGTACATGGTCACCAGCACCAAAATGCAGGAATCCAAACAGCCAGCACTTTCCTTCCCTTTGGACAGACTCAGTTTACCTGTGAAGCCCAATAATGCCCAGGATGCTGCTTAGAGATCACAAAATGTGAAAGCCAGCTTCAGTGAGGTTTCTGTCGTTGCCAAGGGAAAGGTCCTACACACACAAACAATAGTGTAGGGCTCTGTGGTTTAGTGCTTCCTCTGGCCAGGTTCTGTGCCTCTTATCTCACTACATCTTCACGATGGCCTTATGACATAGGTACAGGGACAGTAGTCAGGCAGTTAGTGACAGGGCTGAAATTCCAAGCTCAAGGTTGTCTGGCACCAAGGCCAGAGCTTTCGCTCCCTGCCTCTCCTCAAAGTACAGAAATGAGGACTTGGATGGTGATGAGGAAAGAGCACTTCTTGAACCGCTCCCATTTACTAAACAGGAATCACCGCGATAGCCAAAGCACTGGCATTTGTTCTACAAATGAGGTGACTCATGTTTTACCACCAGGCCCCTAACCCAGGGTGATGCTTCCATCCCCTTCATTTCTGACTGCTCAGGGCTGGGTGCGGGAATTAGGGACTCAGCGGCTGTAACTCATCCCAGAGGGAAATGCATCTCTGAGGTCAGCAGTCCAAGTGAAGCCGTCCAGGGTTTGGTGCCAGGCCCAGGCCACGTCTACCTCGTGGCTCTGGCAGCCTCGGGGCACGGCCTCATCCATATGGCCCGGGACGGCTCCCAACAAATTTCACATTCCAGCCAGAGGCAATGGGGAAGAAAGGAGCCAGAAGACATGCCCCTCTCCTTTTAAGGTTACAATCTATAAGCTGAACACGGTATTCCTACTCAGGATCACAGGGCTATTGGGCACATGCACTGATCTTCAAAGAAGGCTGGGAAATACATTTTGGGTGGCCACATGCCCAACTAAAAATTCTTCTAGATATATAGCTACTGTATCTTAGGAATAATGGAGTACATCCCTAACTACAGTGTAGGTAAATGAGTACAGAGGTAACATCAGATTTAAAAACAAAACTTAACGGGTGCCTGGGGGCGCCTGGGTGGCTTAGTCGGTTAAGCGTCCGACTTTCGCTTAGGTCATGATCTCGCGGTTCGCGGGTTCGGGCCCCGCGTCGGGCTCTGTGCTGACTGCCAGCTCAGAGCCTGGAGCCTGTTTCAGTCTGTGACTCCCTCTCTCTCTGACCCTCCCCTGCTCACGCTGTCTCTCTCTCCTAGAAATAAATAAAAAAAAAAAAAAAAAAAAACTTAAGGGGTGCCTGGATGGCTCAGTCATTTGAGCATCTGACTCTTGTCTTCAGCTCAGGTTATGATCTCACGGTTCACAGGATCAAGCCCCACATCGGGCTCTGTGCTGACAGCCCTGAGTCAGCTTGGGATTCTCTCTCTCCCTTCCTCCTTGCCCCTCCCCTACTCACATCTGTGTCTCTCTCTCTCTCTGTCTCTCTCTCTCTCTCAAAGAAATAAATAAACTTAAAAAAAAAAAAAAAACTTCATTAAATAAACAGCTCCCAGATAGAAGTACCCTACCATGCCCCAGCTGAGTTCCTAAGAGTTTAGAAGAGTTCTAATCCACAGTTTTCTAGGCTTTTCCCACTTCCTCTTCTTATCTTACAATCCATCTTTTGCCCTGCCCTCTCCCCTGCAATGTAATAATAAAGCAGGTGACGCCATTCACTCGGTAAAACTACAGGACACCACAGATGCCAGAGAAGCAGCAATGAGTCAAATGAGCTGACTCCAGGGGGGCACACAAGTGTGAAAAGGTCTGATCCAGTCAGAGAAGTGGGGAGGCCCGTCGAGATCTGAGGAAAAGAGCAGGTTTAAAGGAGAAGAGGGGTGCCTGGGTGGCTCAGTCGGTTAAACGTTTTGACTTCAGCTCAGGTCATGATCTTGAGAAGTTCACAAGTTCAAGCCCCATGTTGGGTTCTGCACCAACAGCTCAGAGCCTCAAGCCTGTTTCAGATTCTGTGTCCCCCTCTCTCTCTCTGCCCCTCCCCTGCTCACACTCTGTCTGTCCTTCAAAAATAAATAAACATTTTAAAAAATGGAGAAGAGGCAGGGGATGCTTCAGGCAGAAGGAAAAGCATGGGAAAGGCCCTCTGGCCACCTCCTTCCCCTCCCCCTCCCTCAATTTCTTCCTCAGACCCTTCTCATTCTTCGGCCCACTGTTCATTCCCCAGCCCTCTCTGCGGTCTCACTACTCTAGAAGGGAATTCCAGGGGCCAATTTTTGTAGTGTTAGCTACTGTACCATATTTCAGCATCCTTCCAGAAAAGCGTGGGCCTAGGGTCTGAGCAATTTTCCTGATAAAACTCTACCGTCTAGCCCTTGAATAAGAATATAGGGTTTGAAGACACAAGGCCAGGGACACCTGGTCTTTGCCTGAGAAGCTGCCCTACAGACTCAGGCCCACAAGTCAGCTCAGGAGGAAGAACAAAAGGCCTTGGCAATGTCAGACCCGGGAGCTTCCTGGGAGCTTCTGAAACTCTCTGGGCACATGGCCTGTGGTCCCTTATTTATCCTCAGACATTCCAAATGTTTCCCTTGTTTCTCCACAGAAAGTGTAGCTATTGACGTGTTTCACAGACTTGTTCCTTCAGGAGTTTATTTTGTCATTTCAGTTATGTAGATATATATTCATTCTAAGCCTCTATATAAGGCCAGATATCACTGACAGACAAAACACGAGCTGTAGGCATAACATCAGAACACACCCAGGCTTAGTACCACAGAGCAGCTCCTACCAAAATAAAGTACCAGGTTTTTAAATCATGAGTATGATTTCTTATACATTTTAATGCATGTATACATCAAGCTCAAAGCTGTTGGTGCGATCTCATTTACTGTCTTTCATAGTGACCTGGAAAGAAAGAACAGCTAATGAAATCACCTATGGCCAATCAAGTATTGCTATGACTCGTAACAGAATCAAACGTTTACAGAAATACTATTTTTCTGGGGCGCCTGGGTGGCTTAGTCGGTTAAGCGTCCGACTTTCGCTTAGGTCATGATCTCGCAGTTCGTGGGTTCGAGCCCCGCATCGGGCTCTGTGCTGACTGCCAGCTCAGAGCCTGGAGCCTATTTCAGAGTCTGTGTCTCCCTCTCTCTCCGGCCCTCCCCTGCTCACGCTGCCTCTCTCTCTCTCCTAGAAATAAATAAAAATATTAAAAAAAAAGAAAAAGAAATGTGTAGAAATAAAGTTGGTTGTGAAATGCGATGTGGCTCAGGGGAACTAGGTACAGTAATTCCACTTGTTCCACCCATTTCCAAATGGCCCAAAGGCCATAGGGAATGTCTGCTAGGATGACAATGCTCCTTCCTCCCTAAAAGATATGTTCTTGAGATCCAAATCTGGAGATTTCAATAATGGTTGCTTTTTCTCTCTTCTATACTTTTCCATTTCTCTGAGAAATATCTCAAGTAGAAGATGACCATGAAGCCAGCACATGGCCAGGATTCATTTAGCCTCCGTGCGGCCCTCTGGGTCCTCAGCTTTCTCTCTGCCCTCAGCCAGAAGTGGTCAGGAGAGCACCAGTAAGGGCAGTGAGCCTCCGCTCATCTGAGCATGTGGGCTCAGAGCCAGCGCTTCCCAGCCCTATGGGACCCAGTGCCCCATTTTAAAGACCAACATTTTCATTTCCTCTTTTCTATCCTGAATTGAAACTCATAGGGGCGCCTGGGTGGCTTAGTCGGTTAAGCGTCCGACTTTCGCTTAGGTCATGATCTCGCGGTTCGTGGGTTCGAGCCCCGCATCGGGCTCTGTGCTGACTGCCAGCTCAGAGCCTGGAGCCTGTTTCAGTCTGTGACTCCCTCTCTCTCTGACCCTCCCCTGCTCACGCTGTCTTTCTCTCTCCTAGAAATAAATAAAAAACATTAAAAAAAAAAAAAAGAAACTCATAGATAGTATCATTATTGTCTCTATAGTTTTAAAACTCAATATAATACTGTGACATAGGAGAAATAAAAAGAAAAGCGATTTGTGATTTAAAAAAATAATATATATTTCTACATAAATACTCAGGAAGGATTATGCTTGAAGACAAAAAAAAGCTCCCACAAATCTTCAAAAGGCCTTGTTGGGTTGATACCATTCTATCGGGCCTCCCTGCTCTAGGCCATGGTAGCCCCAGGTTGTTGAGCGCCAGGCCCCCCCCCATCCTCCCCTCCCTCACCCTTCCCATCGTCCCCTCCCCCACCCAGGGCCAGCAACCTGCCACCTCTTAGCAACTCACCCTCTGGCTGTAGAAGGCAGGGCAGGAGGAGGGACCCGGGTTAGCCCGTTCCTGCTCCACAGCGGACACATGGGGCATCTGTAGGGACAAATGCAGGTGGAGATGGACCTTTCCTAGGTCCTCCAGTGGTGCGGTTTCCCAGAAGCCCCTGGTTTTTACAGACAACAACCCTGCCCCCCACTCCACTCTGCCCACAGTTGCCAGCTCCCTGCCCCATGATGCTACAGAAAGAAGCCAGGAGGGTGAGCTGGAGACGGAAGGTTCTGGTAGATAGACATCATTTTCTCAAAAATCCCAGGCCAGCATGGTTGGGTAAAGGTCAAGTGTCTTTATATGTTTCACTTTGGTGCTCAGGGTTGCTTTTTCTTCACCTGTCTCTGGTCACTACTTTAGTGCTGATGCCTGACAACACATAACTATGCTTTGGACGCACAGCTTTGCCAACAGGCACTCTCCAGCCCTGCTCGTCGAAAAACTTACAGGTGAGATGCGGTTTGAGAGCTCACCGTCCCTCTGCCAGTGTGTGGCAGGGTGGTGCGGGGGACAGAGCATGTCCCCGGAGTTCTTTAAGAGAAGTGCGTTCAAATTGTGGCTCTGTGTTCTGCTAGCAGCGTGACAGCAAGTTACTTAGGTTCTCTGCACCTCCGTGTCGCAGATCATAAAATGAGGAATAAAAAACTACTTTGGTGAGTTACACTGAGCATTAAGCAGAATCGGCTAAAAAAAAAAAAAGAAAGAAAAAGAAAAACAGGTCACACAGCCCAATACAGGAAACACAGGAGACACTCAGGAAATGGTTTTCCCTCTCAAACATCTGGAAGGCAGCCGGTCGTGGCAAGGAAAACAGAACTACTTTCAAGTCCAGATCCTTGACGTGAGACTACATGTTATAAGACAGAAATAATGATATTCTGCTGGGAGGAGCGACACGCATGCTCAGGGAGCACTGCGCCGGTCGATCTCACGGCTCCACTAACCCCAGAGGCATCACGGCCACTGCCACTTCCCTGCTCTTGACCCAGGATCGCGTCCAGGTGTCGCAGACGAAAACCAGCTGGAGTGTTTACCGCCATCATCTGCGGCTCCACCCACTCCTGCAGTCACTGTGTTAACTGCAAGTAGAGGGACTATAGCTTTGCTCCCAGCAACCGGCATCCTTTCTGTTAAGGAAATACTGGGTTAATGGGGTCTCCACTGAAAGCAGACCTGAAGCTTGGGCATGAGGGAAACTTGCCCAGCAGAGGCCACTTTTAACAGTAACTGCTCCGGTGCATGTTTTATGTCGCCCACAGTGATCTGCAAGGCTTTGACCCACTTGTGTTCCGACGCGGGAGGCTGGGCCTGGCGAACCTCAAAAGCTCTTGGCAGGGCTGGGGACCAGCGGCTCCTCCTGGGGAAGAGGGTCAAGGATAGCCAGGGAGGCTCTGCAGGGACCCACCAGTTCTGGGGCCACCCGATACAGCCAGCTGAGCGGGTAGTGCAGGAAGGCGGCGGTGCAGAGGTCTGGGTTGTGCATCTGCTGGTTGGAGAAGAACGTCTGGCGGACCCTGCAGCGGAATCGGCTGCCCATCGCGCCGTAGTGCAGGCCCAGCTCCCCGGTGACTCTCTGGCGGAGGACAGATTCCCCCCACCTGGACCTGCATCACCTGCAGCCGAATCCCCACTGCTGGGGCCAGCTCTGTCCTCCCTGGGTCTGTCACCCGGAGACATCAGGGCCTCTGCCCCCAGTAGGGAAGGAGCTGTGTGCTTTAAGCCCAGAGGTGGCACACGGTGCGTTGGGAAGTGGGGCAGCCCTCCACTTTGCCACTGACTCCCTCCCTGCTTTCCTCACAGTTACCTGCCTGGCCTTGGAGAATAGCCACCCGGACACCCCTCAGCGTAATGCAGCCTCTGATGCCGAACAGAGGCCTTTGCAGAGGGGCCCACACACCCAGCCCCTCTCCTGCCCACCTAGCAGCTCTCCACCTCCTCACCAGCCTTTGCTGTTCGGTCCAGAGAACCGATCTGGCCATTTACTCCCAAAGTGACTGAAAGCATGCAATTTCCTCTCTTGGAACCAGTTTCTCGTCTGTCACATAAAGGTAGCTGTCCCCGCCCAGCCCACCTCTCAGGGCTACAGGAGGATCAAATTGCAGGCAAGGGCTTTATACCCTGTAAAATGCTCTGCGTCATTGATCCCAGCAGGCTCTGCCAACGCCAAATGGCCTGAATTCTGTTGGCGCGGGACACGGGACGCTCCCAGCTTTGGTGGCTGGTCGGTAGTGCCACAGGGTGTGTTTTCCTTCCTCCTGTTCCCAGGACCCATCAGCTCACTGGCCCTAACCCCCATCTGCGGGGGCCACTCCTCTAGCTGCGCCCAGACGCTGGTCACAGCTGGCTAGTCCGGCACATGAGGATCCGACCCCACAGGCAGGTACGTCTCAAGGAGGGTTAATGGAGATTAGGTTAATGGAGACTGACGGTCTAGCCACCCTCCGCAAGTCACCCCACAAGCTGAAGTCAGTCCTTCTGCGGCAGCACGCCGCTGTCATTTGGAACATGTGCCAGCAGAGGGCGCTGGCAGACAAGGCCAGGTGGAGCTCTACAAGGCTTGCGGAAAATCTCCTAACTGGACTCAGGAACCTGGGACAGAGCAGATCAGGACAGGCGGCCTGGAAGCACACACCCGGCCCCCTCCCCCTCACTAGGGGTCTCCTCACTCAGCACTCACTCTTACCTGAATCTCCCTCTTTGTGGAGTTGATGACTTGCAGACCATATCTGCTCACTTCCGTGTGCCTAGTGCAAAAATGGCCACGTGACCCAGGAGAAAAGGAACGGTGCCTCCAAGCTCCAGGCACACCCTCCCTAGACCCCACGGAGGTCAGAGGGCACTCCACAGGCCCCCAGTGTGCTGGGCTGTGTGTGTGCATATGCGTGTGAGAGAGCAGGCATCCTGAGTCCATGGAGGAAGGATCTAGAGGTCACAATGTGACCCAAGGGGACCAGAGGGATCCCCAAATCCAGTTTACTAGGGAAGCCCAGCCTGGACCAGATCTTGATTTCCTGACTACCCTGGCCAGGACCCTCCACCCCTCTCCCCTCTGCTGGCAGGGAGCACAGGCCAGGGCTCTCTCGCTGGTACAGGTCTGCCAGGTGCGTGTCCAGCCTCTTCAGCTCCTCCGTCCGCTCTGAAAGTAGACAGAGGACAGCAGAGGGTGAGTGACAGCCCTGCCTGCCTTTGTCTGCCCCAGGCCCAGTTCCACCATGTGGTGAGGATGGAGAGGTCACCAGGGGTCTACACAGCCCCAGCTGTGTACCTAACATCCCTCACCCCTTCCTACACCAACTGAGACTCCGCCCAGAGCAAAGCGGAGACAGCAAAGATCCTGGGGGACAGGTGAGGAAGCTACGCAGGCAGTCAGATGACCCACCCAAGGTCACATGGTAATGACTCATAGCCAGCTTTTAGAACAAACCTGGAATTGTTTAGACTCACAGCTACTCCTCACCCAGAGGATACTTCAAGTCATTACCAGGTGTGGGACTGTACCTTCCACCCTCTGAGAGTCCTCAAGTGAGTGCGGAGGGTACAGTCAGGGAAGGAAGGAATTCTCAGACTACAGAAACACCACAGCACTCTGGCATCAGGACACAGGTATTTGAGTCAGCTTTGCCCTTTCTGGCTGTGTGAATTTGGGCAGCTGCTTAACCTCTCTGGATCTCTGTTTCCTCGTGTTTTATATGCAGATCCACTCTCATAAACCACAGAGTGGACAGTATCAGCACAGTTACTACTGACCCCAACAGGGAAAAGGGCAAGATGATGAAGGGGCAGGCCTCTGCGCTGGTGCCTTGGCGCCCCCCTACCTGGTCTTGACCACGCCCCCCAGCTCCCCCTTCTCTTGATGCCAGTGCCCAGCTCCCAGGACAGCTCAGGAACCACCAGGCACATTCGCCAGTCCTGCCGCTTCCTGGACTTGAGGATGTCTCCAAAGATGTGATCCCCCATGTCCAGGATCTCCTTCCCGCGTGGCCCCGAGCAGCTCGCACATCGTGTCCGAAGAGCCTGGCCTGCCACGGGAGGACAGGCTTGCTCACAGCCCCGCCTGTCCTGGTGGGCAGGCTGGGGACGTGGGCTCCTAGTCTAGAGAGGGTGTCTGTGGAGGCATGGGGACAGGCTGGGAGCTGGTACCTCCAGAGTAGATGGCACAGTGCCAGTAGGGCCCTGCGGAGGTGTCCACGTGGAGCTTGCCCGAGCCCTGGAAGAGGAGAGGGGCACCCTGGTCAGAGAGAGCAGAGCACTGGGGGCATGAGAGGAAGGAGGTGACAGAGAGTCCCAAAGGAGTCCCCTGGGTCCCCGCCTCCAGGGACAGACAGAGCATCAGAGAGGCAACTCCCAAAGGCAGGTCAAGTGTAAAGGGCAGACTTCCTCCCCACCACGTGGCACAGGGGTCAAAGTGGATGGGGTCTCAGCCCCTGCCATTACCATGCTGACCTGTCTCAGCACCGTCCCCTCAGCCAAGAAGCAGGGCTTCTTTGTGTCCACCATGATCAGGTCAAAGCAAGACCTCCAGGGCCTGACTGAGCCCTCAGCCTATGGCGCAGGGATGGGAGAGTGCGTGTAGACACACACACACACAAACACACACACACACACACACTCTGGAACATCGGACCGTGACACACCTCGCAGCTCTTGCCTGGCCACCCACCAAGCTCTGGACTAGTGAAAGCTCGCCAGCCTCACAAGCCCATGCATGTGCCCTGGTCCTGACTCCTAGCCCTGCGTTACCCTTGGATTCGAGAACCACAGGGTCTGGCTCCCCAGCATTCTCGACCATGACCACTCTGACACGAGGAAGTGCTCAAGAGGTATTTGTGAAAGCTGGTGCTGGACACTGTGCAGGCTCTCATGTCAGCCTCAGGATGTGAGCATGGTGGCTGAGTTAGAGCCCTGCTCACCCATTGGCCTGCCAGTGACACCCAGTCACATGTGGTGCCACAGGGCATGTCACACAGACCCCTCCCCTGGGCCTGCCACACCTGATCTCACCCCCTTGCACCTCATTAAGCCCGTCCCCCAGACATCTACCTCTTCACGGCTTTCTCCAAGGCCACCAGTGACCTTCCCGATCCCTTGGCCTGGCCGAGGTCACTGGCCTCCCACGCACTGCAGAGGCTCCAGCAAGGCCCACACATGTGAAACACCCCCTCCCACATTTGGTTCTTCTTCAAGGGGATGGCCGAACATGGGAGAGGCCCTAGCACTGTGGCCTGGCCTGGTCATCCTCCTGGGGCACAGCCCACCCCAGCCAGGCACGTGGTACTCAACTCACCAATGCCAAACAGGTAGGTCATAATGGCCTGGCAGAGACAGGGCAAGGGTCAGAGCACCCAGCTGGGCTGGCCCAGGGGCTGCTGCCTGCCTCTGCCCTCGGCCCACAGGATACACTGGGACCACACAAGCAAGGTGGTGAGACATTTCTCCATCCACTGAGACCTTAAAAAAGGCCAAGAAATGGGGCACCTGGGTGGCTCAGTCTGTTGAGCATCCAACCTTAGCTCATATCATGATCTCACAGCTTGTGAGTTCAAGCCCCACTCAGGCTCTGTGCTGACAGCTCAGAGCCTGGAGCCTGCTTCAGATTCTATGTCTCCCTCTCTCTCTGCCCTGACTTGTACTCTGTCTCTCTCACTCTCAAAAATAAATTAACATTTTAAAAAACTGTTTTTGGTTTTTTTAGTGTAATTCTTTAAAAAAATTTTTAAATAGTTTATTGTCAAGTTGGTTTCCATATAATACCTAGTGCTCATCCAACAAGTGCCCTTCTCCATGCCCATCACTCTCCTTCCCTCCCCTCCATCCCCATCAGTCCTCAGATTGTTCTCAGCATTCAAGAGTCTCTCATGGTTTGCCTCCTTCCCTCTTCCCAACTATGTTTCCCCTTCTCCTCCCTCATGGTCCTCCGGTAAGTTTCTCCTAATCCTCCTATACGTGCAAACATATGGTATTTGTCCTCTTCTACCTGACTTATTTCGCTCAGCATAACACCCTCAAGGTCCATCCATGTTGCTACACATGGCCAGATTTCATTGTTTCTCATTGCCGTGTAGTATTCCATCGTATAGATAAACCCCATCTTCTTGATCCATTCGTCCGTTGATGGACACTTAGGCTCTTTCCATGTTTTAGCTATTGTGGAGAGTGCTGCTATGAACATTGGGGTACATGTGCTCCTATGCATCAGCACTCCTGTATCCCTTGGGTAAATTCCTAGCAGTGCTATTGCTGGGTCATAGGGGAGTTCTATTGTTAATTTTTTGAGGAACCTCCACACTGTTTTCCAGAGGGGCTGCACCAGAAAAAAAAAATGTTTTTTTTTAAAGGCCAAGAAATGGAACCCAGAATGCCAGCCAGACCGTGGGGGTACCAGGGTCTTTGCTCCTTCCTACCCCTCACTGTTCCTACAGGGCCTCAGTTTCCTCCAGGATCCAGAAAGGAGGGTTGCAATGGGCTCCAATGGCTGAGAGCCCCACCTCTCTGTCCACACACTCACATCCTGTGTAGTTATAGCTGCATTTCATAGCCAGAAACACTTTCCCAACCTCCTTCATCTTGCCCAGCAGGATGGGGATACACACCTGGAGCAGAAGCCAAGGTCACTTCCAGGGGTGGGGTCTCCCCCAGCTGCCCTGGGATCCCTTTCTTGGCTCTCAGCCTCCCAGGCATGGGGCTCCAGGCCAGGCAGGAAAGTCTGTGATCAAGGCGAGGCCACAGTGCTGCCCACATCTTGAGGGTGGAGGCAGGGATACAGCCTCACTGCTCTGGGGAAGAGGGGGACAAAGGAATGGGGCTTGGTCATGACCCACTCACATCCTTCTCCATATATTTAACCAAATTTTTCCAGGGTCTTATCCTTCACACAGCCACGGGGGGGGAGCAGAGGTGTGTGTGTGTGTGTGTGTGTGTGTGTGTGTGTGTTCATGCATGCATGCGCACGCACAGGGGTGTGCACGTGTGCATGTGCGTGCAGGTGTGCATGTGCATGTGTGTGCATGTGTGCCCACCTGCATGCACGTGTCCAAGGTGTGGGAGCCCAGACCGTAGTCCTTGGCAGGAAAGAGAGCGGAAACTCTGTGGATGCTGGAGCCCTCAGGGCACACCCAGCAGAGCCAAGGGCAGACAAGTCAAGGGTCCTGGGGTCCTGGGCACTATCCATGGTATCCCTCACATCCTGGAAGAGACTTCAGAAGGATATGAAAAGGTTCCCATGCTGATAGTCAGTGTCACAGCTGGCATGGGCCAGGAGGACAGGAAAGGCTGATAAGGAGGCCTGAGGTGACCACCCAGCCCAGACTCTATACTGGAATCACCCCTCAAACCACACTGAGCTTATGTCCCAACCATGCTGGAAGGGGTATCACCATGTGCTGAGAGTCATCCCTTGGGGGGCACCAGTTCCAAGGTGGAGGGGGGTGGCCCACAGTGAAAGCCTTCCCACTGAGCTTCTAGAGCCTCTCAGGAAGGGTCTCTGCTCTTTGGCAGGGACCCCACTTCAGGGCTTAGGCCCCGGGCAGTGGCCGTGTCTTGTTGGTGACCCAGGGCTGGACAGTGCACAGGACTCACTTGGTGTAGCGGGAGCAGCCAGGGAAGGAGTCCACCAGGCAGGCATACAGGTAGGTTTCTGGGATGGAGAGGACAGTCAGTGGCTGGCCCAGGCATCCAGAGCAACCCACTGGGGCCAGAGCTGGGCCCCTGGGGACCACCTCCCACACCCCCTAGGCAGCCCTCATCAGGCCGGTCGAAGAGCATGCTGAGGATGTGGAACTTCTGCAGGTCGTCCCTCTGAATGAACTTGAACTTGCTGGGGTAGAAGCTCCTGATCTCTGCCCTGGGGAGGGAGCGGGCTGGGTGCTGTCAGTGCCCCCTCTCTGGTGCCTCCTAGCAGCGCACTCAAGCCCTGTCATTCCTCCCCACCTCCGTCCACCCCTGCTGTCCCTCTTTTTTTTTTTTTTTAAATATTTTTATTTATTTCTAGAATAGAGAGAGACAGCGTGAACAGGGGAGGGTCAGAGAGAGGGAGATACAGACTCTGAAACAGGCTCCAGGCTCTGAGCTGGCAGTCAGCACAGAGCCCGACGCGGGGCTCGAACCCACAAACCGCGAGATCATGACCTAAGCGAAAGTCGGACGCTTAACCGACTAAGCCACCCAGGCGCCCCCCTGCTGTCCCTCTTTTATTCAGCTGGCATTGTTGAGCCTCTGCCTGTCCTGAGCCTCTCCTCCCCCGCCTCTTCTTCTTTCCTCCATCATCCTTACCATCAACCCCTGGTCCCTTACTTACTCCAAGAGGAAGTTGAAGCCATGGGTGTCCACCTTCAGCAGGTTCCCATAGAGCATGTCAAATACCAGCCCCCCTAGGCAGAGAGTGCAGAGGCTGTGGATGGGGGTCCAGGGCTGACTACCGGCCATAGCCTCCCACCGCAGCCAAGTCTGGCACCCGGTGGGGGAGGCGGGGTCATTGGCGTAGCACAGGGTCTCACGTGGGTGCCCAATGCACACCAGATGTTCCAGCAGTAACTTGAAGGCCAGTGCCTCTTAGGCTCGGGACGTGTAGGCTATAGGAACCAATCAGAACCAGGCCAGCTGGTGCCCACTCCTCGCTCCCCGAGCCCCAAATACTCTGCTCCCTCCCTCCTTACCAGCCAGGGTGTAGTCCCTGTCAAAGCCAAAGCCAAAGCAGCGAATCTTCCCCAGCGCCAAGCTGCAATTGATGAAAATCCTGGGGAGGGGGAGAAGAATGTTGGAATCAGCCCACCAGTGCCCCAAACCCCATTGGGTCTGAGTGCATCTGAGCACATGCTTGTGAGCATGTGGAAGTGTGCACAGGGAGCCTCTGAGAAGCGGCGGCTCATCATGTGGGAGTGCGCTGTGGGCACCCCCGTGGGTGTGCAGTTGTCAGCCAAGAGTGTCACTGTTTTGAGTGAGGTCACTGTGTCCAAGTTCAGAGATGCATTTGTCATAATGGGCAGCACGGGTCACCATATGGAAGGGGATGCCTGAGGGTATATTGTCAGTGTTTCCAGGTGACAGGTTGCTGCCTGTCACCTAGAGAGAAGGGGGTCTCCATGCAAGCACAGGGGTTCCTCAGCGTTTTGAGTGTCACCATATCTGTGTATTTAAAGGAGTCACCTGTGGGGCTGCTGTGTTATGAGGAGTATGTCAGGAAACAGGGTGTTAACAAGCTGAGGTGACCTCAACCTCCACCCCAAGTGCCCATCTCACCGCCGGTGCCAGTCCTGCTTCAGGCCTTGAGAGGAGACCAGAGTTGCGGCGCCCCTTGGGACTCCCTTCACTCTTCCCCACCCCCACTGACCATCGCCATGAGGAGCGAGCAGGAGGCGATGAGTCCTTCCCCAGCCACCTGCACACTATCAGTGGGAACCAGCAGCTTCCTTATCCCTCAAGCACTTTGGACACCACTGATCCAGCTGGCCCCACCTGGGCCCCCATCTCCTCTTCTGGGGAAGGAATGGTCTGTGTTAGCCTCTGGTGTCCCCTCCTTTCTTCTAAAAGGAAAGCAGTTATGATCAAGGAAGAACAATCCATCAATATTGTACTACCTCCATTTCTAAGGCTTATGCCTCCAAGGACTTCAACCACCTAGAACCCTTCAACCCAGGATGAGACAAACATAGGGGTTACAAAGGCAGGAGACTCATGTACTTTGAAGAATAAAAGAGTCTTGGGGCACCTGGGTGGCTCAGTCGGTTAATCTCTGACTCTTGGTTTGGGCTCTGGTCATGATCTCACTGTTTGTGAGTTCAAGCCCCAACTCAGGCTCTGAACTGACAGTGTGGAGTCTGCTTAGGATTCTCTCTCTTTCCCCCTCTCTCTGCTACTTCCCTGTTCATGCTTTCTCTCTTTCTCTCAAAATAAATAAATACATTTTTTAAACAATAATAAAAGAGACTTTAAGAAATACATAAAGAACTCAGGACTCTTGCTCTATGAACGACTCTAACACACTTGGTTATAAATTTCCCATCCAACACCACATAAAGGAATAATTGCTTAAAAGCATGCCATAAACTATAAGAAGTGGCAGATGAGAAAAACCTCAGAAAAAAGTACAAAAGCGAGAGCAGGGTAAATTGAGACCATTTAGTGTGGAGCTGTAAACAGCCCTGAAGGCCCACAATAGTGATTTTACAACAAAGCACTGAGACTTCCATTTAGAACTTTGATCTCGATTATCCAAAAAGACACATGATGCAGCATGTCCTCTTAAAAAGGAAGACAAGGGGCATCTGGGTGACTCAGTCAATTGAGCATCTGTCTGATTCTTGATTTCAGCTCAGTTCATGATCTCACGGTTTGTGAGAATCAGATCAAGCAAGCCCTGAATTGGAGTCCAGGCTGAGCATGGAGCCTGCTTGGGATTCTCTTCCCCCCGCCCCCCCAACACTGTCTGTCTGTCTCTCTTTCTCTCCGTGTGTGTGTCTCTCTCTCAAAATAAATAAATAAACTTTAAAAAATAAAAATAAATAAAAAGGAAGATAAGTTTATGATGCACTTAAAAGAATTCTCTCTAAAAATAACAAAACTAGTGGAGCTTGGGTGGTTCAATCGCTTAAGCATCTGACTTGATTTCAGCTCAGGTCATGATCTCACCATTCATTAGCTTAGGCCTGCTTGGGATTTTCTCTCTCCCTCTCTCTCTGCCCGCCTCATGCACTGTCTCTCTCTCTCAAAATAAATAAATAAACTTAAAAAAAAATAAAGTTACTAAACTAAGTGAAATTAGACACTCTTAAAGGGATAAAAACTATCTGGAAAAAACATATTTCAATGGAGTAGTTCTTTCCTTTACAATGCCAGATGAGCAACTATTAGAATGATAAAGCAAAAATATAGAGGCACAAAAGCTACATTCCTTCACTGGATGGATGGATGGATGGATGGATGGATGGATGGATAGTTGTATGGATGGTTGGGTGGATGGATGTATAGATAGGTAGATAGATAGATAGATAGATAGATGATAGATGGACAGTTGGATGGATGGACAATTAGATGAGTGGACAGATGGACAGAAAGTTGGCCATAAACATAAGGCTTTATTGAGAGTGTCAGAGGAAAATCAAGCTTCAGAAATCAGGAGAACTTTCAGAGTCCCTTTCACTCATAATCTTATGCTTTCTGCTCATATTGGGGGAACTTTTTAAAAAGTGCTCTTTCGCATGGAGGAGGGCTCTTGTTGGGATGAGCACTGGGTGTTATATGGAAACCAACTGGACAATAAACTATAAAATAATAATAATAATAAATAAAAATATAATTCAATTTGCACAGTGAAAAATGAATAAATAAAAAGTACCCTTTCCCATATTGCATGATTCCTATCTAGTCAGAAACAAAGGGAGGGGTACCCGGTTATAGAAAATCACTGGGAAGTTCTAGCCCTCCCACTGGGAATTAACATGGCAAAATATTTTTTTTTTCCTATAGCTGAACTTAGGGTTCTATCCCAAGCTTCCATTTCACCTGAGGACAGGAAGGTCATCCAGTGATATTTAAATATACTCTGTCACTTCAGCACTTTCTTGGGCCACTTCTCCAAGTGCACTCCCAGCTATCTCCTAGGATTGACTGAACATTGTGGGGGTTATACCTGGCCGTGCTGGTAGTTGACAGCTGTTACTGTCCCTCACTTCTTGGTGGGGCCCGATGGGACATGCACAGGCACAGGTGGGGCCTGTACCTTCGCGTGTTGCCATCTGCTGAGGTGGCCAGTCTCTGCTCCTATCCCAGGAGACGGAGAGCCCCTTGGCTAACTGTAGGTCCAACTAGGGAGGGACCTCGGGGCTGTCACAGGGCCCTCTTGGCTGTGACCCCTGTACCACTGTCACACTTGTGAAGTTTACTGCATTTCAGAGCCCCTTCAGGAAGAGATTTGTCATAGTGACAGTAAAGAATCCTTGCATTGTGAGTACCATGAGCCGGGCCTCATAATAATCCCATGAGACGGGCCTATAGCTATTCTGAATTTATAAGGTGACAAAACCAAGACACCGAGGAGTTCTGCATCTGGCCCAGAGTTACAAAACGAACAAGCAGCAGAGCAAGGACAGAACCCAGAGGCCAGGTACCAACATCTGTGCTCTGGTCCTGTCCCCCCTTCCCAACAGTGTGCTAGTCAGTGCTTCTCAAGCTGTGATGTACATGGGAATCACCTGGGGTCTGGTTAAATACAGCTTCTGAATCAGCAGGTTTGGGGTGGTACCTGAGATTTTGCATTTCTTTTTTTTTTTAATATTTTTTAATTTTTTTTTTTTTTTTTGAGAGAGAGAGAGACCAAGCACAAATGGGGGAGGGACAGAGAGAGAGAAGGAGATGCAGAATCCGAAGCAGGCTTCAGGCTCTGAGCTGTCATCACAGAGCCCAATGCGGGACTTAAATTCACAAACCATGAGATCATGACCTGAGCCAAAGCTGGATGCTTAACCAGCTGAGCCACCCAAGCGTCCTGAGATTTTGCCTTTCTAACAAGTGCCCAAATCATCACCAGAATCATGTTGGCCTGCCCCACATTTGAGGAGCAAGAGTGGGGCATTAGCCTACATGTGCAAATCCCCTGAGGAGCTATAAATCATCTGATGAGTAAGAGTCAGGCAAGTGCAGGTAGGGGGGCATTCGAGCCCAGGGTCCCCAGAGCCAGTGCTAAGTGGCAGGGTGGCAGGGGGATACCCTCCGTCTCTGAGATTTACATGTAACTGGTCCAGAGATGGACCCAACCACTGGGCGTGCTTTATCCCTGGGTGAGTCTAATGTACCACAAAGTTTCAGGACCTCACTTTAAAAAGACATTTAAGGGGAGCCTGGATGGCTCAGTTGGTTAAGCGTCCGACTTCGGCTCAGGTCATGTTCTCGCAGTCCATGGGTTCGAGCCCTGTGTTGGGCTCTGTGCTGACAGCTCAGAGCCTGGAGCCTGCTTCAGATTCTGTGTCTCCCTCTCTCTCTGCCCTTCTCCCACTCGCTCTCTGTCTCTGTCTCTCAAAAATAAAATAAAGACATTAAATAAAAAAGAAAAAAAGAAAAAGAAAAAATAAATAAAAAGACATTTAACAAATCAAACCAATGCTAGATATAGTGGGTACACATGGAGGCTGAAGCCACTTTATCCTTGGGCCTTGGGAACCTTGTCCCTCATGGAAATGCCCAGCATTTACCAAAAACTGTGTCTTTAGTTCCTTTTCTCATTTGATTCTCACCTCAGCCCTGTGCTGTGGATATTATTACTGTGATTACCACCCTCTTCTCTTTATACAGACAGAAACAGGCTGCACCAAGTTAAGGACTTGCTCTAGAAACCTCTGTCATTCCCTGAGCCTTCATTTTTCCCTTCACTGACCTTCCTCTGAAAGCCCTGCTGCCACCCCAGACAATACTACCACCATCTTTCTGGAAGTTTCCGGGGGAAACATCCCCTTCCTGTCACTTTTCCTGCAGTCTGCCCTTGAGTCTCAGTCACCACCCCATTCCAGCTGGTGGGGACCATGGAGGGAGACAGTCACCTCCCTTCTGGGGTCATTGGTCCCTCTTCCAATTGGCCTGGTAGCCACACAGAGCACAGGGGTGAGACTAGAAATCCATACAGTTGCACTGGGCCAGGAGCTCTGCTCAAGGTAGAAAGCAACGGAGGGCAGGAAGGGAGGGGTCCACGGCCAGATGTTTTTGTTGGGCTTGTAAACCCTCTGCAAGCCTGGCCACTATCTCCTGTTGCATCAGGCAGGACACGTAGAAAGCATGGGACCTGGGTCTGTCCCAGGGGCCACATTCCTATAATGACAACACCCTCTTCACAGTGTTTGCAGTGAGCAATCACTGCCCTGAGGGACAGCGGGCTTCATGCAGATCCAGTCACGAAAATGTCCTTTTCCTTT